GTAGTTCTATACACAGGAAGTGGCTGGATTAGATCCCTAATTTAGAAAGATCAAACTGGTCACAGTGTAGAGGCTGGACTGAATGAGACAGAGCAGAAAGCAGAGAGACACTGAGAAGACTGGTCAGAGGTGATGCTGGCCTGGGCTGAGACAGGGATCATGTCTTTGAAGAGGAGCAGGAGCACAAAGACCAGAGAGAGGCTGTGGTTAATACTATCCTGAGGATAAAGCTAGCGCAGATGCAAGAGTTAGTACTTAGGGGGGCTTTGGCTGTTTTGACACTATAATAGGATAGCTCATTCTGCTAAAAGGAGACTATTTGCTAAATTTTTTATTCATCTGGCCCATAAAAGGTAAAGAAAGGACTAAGGAGGGAAAAGGGAGAGAAAGGGAGTGCTGATCACATGTTGGGCAGGAGCAAACATGCACTACTTCACTGAATCTTCACAGCCACCCTGAGAGGGAATGGCTATCCCTATGTGCCAGATGAGGAGACTGAGTTTCCATTTCTTTGCCTGAAGTCACACAGCTAGTGGATGGTAGAGCCAGTAGTGAGCTCTGTGTTTGTCTTGTTTCCCATAAAGAAAACCCCACCCTAGACTCCATTCTGAGTAGCTAGAAAGCTCTTGTCAGTTGGGACCTCAGAGGAAGGAATCATGGGCAGAAGCAGACCAGTGCTCTGGACTGAAGAATATATTGTAAAAGGTCAGAGGACAGGCAGCGTGTAGAAGACAGGAAGTCATTGTTATAGGAATCTGGACCGGTCCCCATCCCCAGTTGCCTGCCCTAGTCCCATCCCATAAACCAGCTTGAGTGCATGGCAAGCTGAACGATTAGGTTATGTGAAGGTTTTCTTTAAGTACAATGAACAAGATTCAACCCAAAGCTGCAAGGACTATTTGGATTACTCTGCTTGTCCAGGATACTGTGTGTGCATGTTCTTCTGGCCCATCTTGGCCCATAAATGGTTCTGGACTTTGAACTGTGCTAGAATCAGTCTTGAGATTAAATACCTATAAAATGGAGATAATAATTGTCCGTCTCATCTGGGAAATGGGCACAGTTGGCGAGATAAGGCATGTAAAGGGCCTAAAGCAGGATTTATCTCAAAGTGAGCTTAATACCAAGGGTCTGGATTCTCGTTTTAAACCAAGTGGGCAACCCGGCCAGTGTGGTTTAGCGGTTGAATATTGACCTATGATCCAGGAGATCAAGGTTTGATTCCCAGTCAGGGCACATGCCCGGGTTGTGGGCTTGATCCCCAGATCAATGACTGTCTCATCACTGATGTTTCTATCTCTCTCTCTCCCTGTCCCTTCCTCTCTCTGAAATCAATAAAGATCTATTTTTTAAAAACATAAACC